CCCCACCCCCATCACAGTCAACTGTAATCTCCCTCCTTTCCTTCACTCAGAGAGCACTCACTTTTAATAACAAAGAAATAGTCATGAGGAGGGAACAAGCAGCCATCCCTCCAAGGCCGAGCATATGTAGAGTCCTCCTTCCTGCCTTTTCCACCAGAAACACCTAAAAGAATAAAATAACATGAAACTTCTGCTTTCCCTTTCATGAAGATACTGTATGAGCTACTTGAATCTGCTTTACTAAGAGGATACTTGCTACAGTTATATCTCCCTTTCTCCACCTTTAAGTTCAAAGCATCCTCTACAATCCTTTCTACGCCTCTCTTTCCCGTCCATCCCATACCTGCTTGTAGAGTGAAGACTACTCACGCCCATCATTCAGTGTATTTCTTTTCCCCAAAGAGAAATTAAACAACCACAAAAAAGGTTTAACTAAATGATGGTAGGGAGGTTGAAGGACATGCAATCCATCTTTGAACATCTGTAGCAAGAACTCCTCTTTTTTACTCCAAAATTATTAAATTAACTTACCGAAACCACAGTGAAGACAGTATTAACCACACCGGCACCAATGGTGGCATAGATTGGCTCTTGCACACCTGCATCTTTGAAGATTCCCGTTGAGTAATAGAATACCTAAACCAATAAACAAAAGGAGACGCGACTTTGAATCAGCAGTGCCTACCAGTTAAAAATAAATAAACTCAAAAACAAAACCTTCAAAAGTGTCAGGAGGCAAGGAGGTGTACTTCCCAGGGTTTCTTTGTTTAATTACAATATCCTTTTTTGCAAATATTCTGCATTCATCTCCATTCTCTTCTTAATTCTCAATTCTAGGTATTCATTTCTACTATTTTCCTTTATAGTGTGCTTATTCTGATTGCTCCATTTAGACTCTTTCGTATACCTACTTTATTAATTTGAATAAAGGTTTTAAGTCATACTAAGTGCTTTTTCAATGGCCCCTTTCCCAAATCCTCAAAGCATTGAGGTTTCCTTTTGATAGTGAAGAAACTGAGGTGTTCATTTAATCAGAAGCAGAGTTTAGCCTAGAATTCCTAGCCCTAAGCCCTTTCCATCTGTTTTAGGAAATAAAACCAGCCACTATTTTTGAACTTTTACTATTTGCTAGATACTGTGCTAAAATAAAGTGTAAGGCTGCTACCATAGTTAAAGAGATGTCAAAATATCGGACTCAGACCTCAAGATAGCAAGAGAACATTACCTAGATTACATAAGTTCAGTCTGTCACTCAGATTCAGTTTAGGAATTTATTATTTTGCTCCGAGTACTTGCCTCTATAGCAATATTCCTTGGATGTTTTTGATGAATATATGCCTCCACATTAGGATTTACCTCCTCAAGAAACAACTCGTCAAATTCCCACTAGCTAAAATAGAAACTATGCATATTTGTATTTTCTAAAATAAGATTAAGATTGTGCTTTTTTGAAACTGAGATTTATAGTGTTATCCTTATTGGAAACTGCTGCTCTGGGAGAGAAACAAGGGTGAGCTACTTAAAGCTGTTAAAAAAAGAATATATACACATACATTTCAAGCAAACTTCTTACAGTAACATTACCTTGCTATCTAATGCCATCAAGCTAAATTAAGCTAATCTCCACATCATCTCACCTAAAAGCAGTTTACTTTGCTAGGAAAACAAACACTATCTAACCTCCCACCCTTCTGCCTTTTTTAAGGGAAATTAGAAAACATTGTTTTCTCAAAGGTAGATTGCAAAAGTGATTTTATCTTTCAGAGACAAACAAGCAATTCCCAGGCCCCTACCCAAGATATGATTCAATAGAATCAAGACTCCCTCTCACCACTGCCTCAGGTAACTCTGAGTTAGACTACATACCCAGGGCAGAATCTGTTCACTGACTAAATTGGGAGACATCTTAGTCTAAAAGAAATGAATTTACACACCATTTCCTGAAGTGGAAGCAGTCTGTCCTGCAGAGTGCTCATCTATTATATGCAGTTTTCAGAGAGTGATCTCTCTCTGATCCTTTTATGCAGGGCTGGGAATAGGGTGAGGCAAGTGAGCTGCCTGGAGCACATAATTTGAGACACTCACTCTCAGAACCATGCACTCACACCAAAGTGCCTCACTTGCCTCTCCCTAGTTCCAGCTGTATTGCTCTGAAAGTCTTGGGCGTATATTTCATTCCAATGATTCTTTAAATGAGGAAATTTGAGATTGTTACCTGGGAGACTTTTTCAAACTCTCTTTCCTCCCAGGTGCTAATATATAAGCCTCCAACCCCTAATGAGAATCACTGTTATCTCAAATGCCAAGTGTATCCTTCTGGTGTGTCAGGCAAGAGAAAAGTCCAAGGACTAAACTACTATTTTAAGCACTAAGCATTTTGCAAAATTCTTTGTTACAAAATAATTTAATCACGTTGATCAAAAATTGACAGAAAACCCTGAGGGCATGAATCAGTATTTGTACAAGACATTCTTCATGTTGGAATATTTTATCTACGAGTCAATAGACTGTGTGGGAATAGCCTCTCTTTGCAAGACCAATACTCAAAATCAGGAAGCTGATGTTTGCATAGAATACAAGGGTTACCTGCCAAATGCCACCCAATTTAAATTACGATAGTCACTATTCTAGTTGTAAAAAATATATAGTGGTAAGGCCAGCTCTGAGTGAAGTTGCCAGCATCCTCCCAGACTTCTTAAACTGATTTCCTATCTGTTCCAGGACCTTACACTGATTTTAGACTATAGAGTCTTAGAAAAACAAAAACACTGAGATGCATAAATTCTAGGGTATACTTCGTATGGTTTACATGCGCATTGATGATATCACATTAGATACATCAATGTTAAAGAAGACTGGAAATAAAAAAAAATGAGTGGTCAAAAAAGATTAATGGATATTAGACAAATCTGAAACACATACATATTGAAAAAAGTCTAGAAGAGAACAAATGTTAACCATAAGTTCCAAAACTATGGGTGATTTAAAATTTTAATTTCATCTGTTTTCTTATTTTTCTACATGGAAAATAATCAACCTGGATAATTTTTCTGAGTGGTGGCTATGCAGCAAGCATTGTGAGGGACTTTAGATGCTGTATATGTGAGTAGGGGAGCAACAACTAAAAGGTGATGCTACTCACCTCTGTGGTCAGTTTTAAGTGAAATATCATAGGGCACCTTTGACACAAAAGTAGATACTCACAGCATTAATTCCAGAGAGCTGCTGAGAGAGCTGGAGCATGACGGCAATCATGAGGGGCTGTCTGTAGCTGGGTGATCTGAAGAGCTCCAGCACAGTGACTTGCTTTTCCTGGGCCATTCTAGCACTCTCATCTTTCATTTCTTGGATGTCCTGGTTCACATCCTGGGTGCCCCGCAACCGTTGGAGGACTAGTGAAAAGAACAAAGGGGAAAGGATAAAGTTAATGTGCTGTCCCAAATTTATCTTTCCTGTAAGATAGCTGGGAAGCAGCCAGAACCGGCCACACAAGATGAAGCAAGAAAGAGGCCTGGATATGGCGGATCAATCAGCTTCCATGCAGTACTTGCCTTCTCACCTCACTCTTTAGAAGCTGAAAGTTTTGGCTCATGGGTAATCAGAAAACTGTTTGCTTTAGTTTTGAGGGGGCAGGGAGGCAGGGAAAGATGACAAAAAAAAAATACATCCAACACCGTTAAACCACAACCCTAAAATTCCTAAAGGAAAGATGTGAAAGATACTCACTCTGCTTGGCATTCTCCTCTTCCTTTCTGTTAATGAGCAAGAATCTAGGGCTTTCAGGGCAAAATGGAAGGGCTGCACTTTGTAGGACAGCTGGAATGATGGTGAACCCCAGCAGCACAGGCCACAGCTCTTCAGACCCAAAGATGACTTCCAGACCAAATATCTAGAAACCAGACAAAGAGAATGCTATAAACCCCATAAGGTCACAAATTCATTAAAAAAAAAAAAAAAAAAAATCCATTCTTTTCCATTGTTGATCCTGATTGCTTTTTAAACTACTGTGAGCTATAGTAACACTTGAAACTTAAATATGGTTGAATATGTGCCAGACATTCTTCTGATTTCTTTACCTATGTTAATTCATTTAATGAGCCATGAAACTAACATTCATTAAGCATGAGAAGTCCTAGAGTACCTGGGCCACCAGAATGCCGATGACGATGCCCAGCTGGTTGAGAGTGCCAAAGGCACCCCGTAGAGCAGTAGGAGATATCTCTCCAATGTACATGGGCACAAAACCTGTGCACAGTCCGCAGAAGAGGCCAATAATCAAGCGGCCCAGGATCAGCATTTCAACCGACTTAGCTAATTTACAGAACCCCATAAGACAGCCACCAGCAACAGCCAATATGTTGACAATAAGCATCGAATTGCGCCTGTAAGGGTAAATCAAAGACAGGTGAGGTTAGCAAAACTGGCCCTAAATCTTTCCCCTTCATTCCTTATTCTGCTCTTCTCCAGGTTCATACATCTTTTCTTCTTTCTCTCTAATTCTTCTTTTCTACTGTTTATCAACAGAACGTTTCTAGGTAGAATAAGTAGGATCTATGGCTCTTATACCTGTATATGCAAAAAATTTGCCTAGAGAACTTGGTTAAGATTATCTGTGAGTCCCAGCTATAAATATAGGATTTTAGCAAGCATCCTAAGCCAGTAGTTCTCAAAGCAGTCCACAAAACAGCAGCAGCAGCTAGAAACTATCCCACCTGAGTCAGTAGATCTGACTCTGGGAGTGGGGCCCAGCAACCTTCTCAAAAGCTCTCCAGGTGATTCTGATGCCAGCTAAAGTTTGAGAACCCTAATTCTCATGTAGTTGGTGCATGAACACACTCAAGAGAAACTTTTGGACTGGTGCTCAGTCTTTTTGTGCTTCTTACTACATTTCATACAATATAGTTGCTTTATATTACCAACATACTGATGATAGAGTATTTCAAACAAGTTTTTCTGCATCACAGAAAATAATATGCAAAAGGATAATCAGCTTTGGCTGTCCTTCTCCAGGCTAGACTGGGGTGATGCTATTAATGATTAATGTTGATAACCATTATGAAATAATAAACTAATGCGTTTAAGTGGTAAATGTGAGAGGCAAAGACACTGAAATCGCTGATAGAAGGCTGAAATAAAAGATTAACACTGAAAAATTACTACAGGTATTGTGAAGAACCAGCTCCATTATACTTCACCAGTGATTCTTGACTTTGGTTATCCACTGGAATTCCTGGGGAGCTTTCAAAAATACTGATACATGGTTCTCATCCCCAGAGATGCTGATTTAATTGGCTTGCAGTATGACCTGGCACTGGGACTTTTAAAAGCTCCCCCAGGAGATCCTAAACATGCAGCCAAGGTGGAGAACCACTGTTAAGAGAAAAATTACTTCCTTCATTCCTTTCTGTTTCCTCACTCCTCTATTGGGTTCTTTTGCTAATAAAATAACAATAGGAAGAAAGCCATTATTAGTTACTGGAGGTCCCAATTAAAACTTTACTAACAGAAGGTAGCCTCACAAAACAAAACAAAATTTAAACATTATCAAATAGATTGCTTGATTAATTTTTTAAACTTGAATTCCATTTGCTTTCCAGCACATGTAATTAGCAAACTAAATGGTTCCTTCACCAGTCATTACTGAAAGTATTCTACCCTGTAACATGTTTTATTAAGCTAGCTTAGAGTGAGGAGATTCAATTTTCTTTCTCTGAGAAAAAAAAAAAAAATCAGTTATTTGGCCATAATCCGTATTTGCCATAGACCAAGGATTATAAAATATTTCCCATGGATCCTGCTTTGTAAAATAATGAAATCACTTGCATGGAATCCCAGAATTATTTATAAAAGCAAACAGCTTCTGACCTTGTAAATAAAATATGTCTCTGGAAAACTCCACATCTGACCTTATTAGTGAATAACTGAACGAGCCTAAGCTAGACTGCAAAGGCCAATCATTCACATGGCCCATCTCCTAAAAGGCTGGGTGAAAGCTACACAAGATAGTAGAGCTCCAAGCAAGAGGAGCCATATTTGGTGCCAGGTGGACCAGGTTTCCCTTGATTAGAATTTGGGGTGTTCTTATTCAAAAATACCATCACTTCCCTGCCCTAATTCTCAATACCTGTCCTGAACGCAACCAGTATAACCTGCTTCTTCACTCAGTTTTTGGTCAATACCTGCCAAAGCGGTTGACAAACAGTCCAACGGAGAAAGAGCCAATCATACCACCGACAGAGAAGACAGCCACAGACACGGACCAGAGGGAAGTGAGCAACATCGCTGAGGGAAGTTCATCTAACCTCATATCCAAAGTGTAATTGAGAAAGTCTCGTATGATCTGCAAAATAAAATGGTTGGCAGAAGGAGAGACTGTTACAGTTGGATGAGAACAAGAGCTTACCCTCCCTAACAGGACAGCATTTCAATTACTTTGTAAGTAGAGAATCAAAGATATGAATAGATGGGGATGAAAAGGACAGATAAAACACTGAAGTTAATGTTTGTTCTTGTTAGTTGCCTTCAGGTCCATTCCAACTCATGGAGATGCGATGTGTGCAGAGTAGAACTGCTCCAGAGGGTTTTCAAGGCTGTGACCCTTCAGAAGGAGATCACCAGGCCTGTCTTCTAAGGTGCCTCTGAGGTGGGTTTAAACTATCAACCTTTCAGCTAATAGAGCACTTAACCATTTGCACCACCCAGGGACCCAGAGTTAATGTTACTAGCTCTAAAAAGAGTAGTTTTTTATTTGTCCAGAAAATCCCAGTAGGTGGCAGTACGGATGTTCAGTGACTACCCCAGTCCTCTCCTAAAAGGCAAAAACCAAACCCATTGCTCTGGAGTAGATTCTCACTTACAGTGGCCCTCTGCGACAGAGTAGAACTGCCCCATTGGGTTTCCTAGGCTCTAAATCTTTATGGAAGCAGACTGCTACATCTTTCTTCTGTGGAGCCGACCTGACCTTTTGGTTAGCAGCGCTGCACTTAATCACTCCACCAGGACTCTTCTCCTAAGATGCAACCCTCCCTTATTTGTAACTATCTCTTGTTGTTAGGTGCCCTCCAGTCGACTCTTACTCTTACTCATAGCAACCCTACGTGACAGTGTAGAACTTCCCTGTAGGGTTTTCTTGGCTGTAATCATTACAAAAGCAGATCAGGTCTTTTCTCCATCTGAGCCACTGGTGAGTTGAAACCACTTCTGGTGGGTTCAAATCACTTCGGTTAGCAGCCCAGCACTTAACTATTGCACCACCAGGGCTCCTTAACTATCCCTTAAGGGTGTATCATCGTAGGGTGAAAGTAAGAATGGGTACAGTTCAGGGTAGTTAACAAATGAGTTTTTGCTTTGGTTAAATGACACAAGACTTCCCCACCAGTATATTCTCCATCCTAGCCAGGCTAGACACCAAGTTTGTCTTCAATTCTGAATTCCTGAAACTCTACTTAAAATAAAAGTAACTTCCCTACTACAAATTCTAACTCCAGTTGTCTAGTACTCACCAGCTCAGGAGCATTGATGACTCCAGTGTTGTAGCCAAACTGGAAAGAGCCGATTGTAGCAATGCTGATGGCAAAGACCAGAGAGGCGGTGACCTGGTGGGGGGAGGGGTATAATCCTTAACTCTCTTGATGATTGTCTCTGATTAATTAAGGAGATGTAGTAGGAGAGTTTGGACTATGAATAGTATGAGAATTAGGTGAAATTTAGGTAATGAATGGGAGTAACAAAGGAACAGATAGGTTATACTTACCAACTTATCTGGAGATACACAGAAAAGCATTTGTAGTTAACTTGGGAAAAGTAACCAGAAAATTTGCGAAGTTTAAGAGGAACTGGGTTGGACAGTTTGGAAGCATTTAAAAAACTGACCCAGGTAAAGGCAATGATAGAATTGTGCTCAGGAATATAACAAAGATCTAGGAGGGCAAGGGAAAGACAGCCTTAGGATTCCTAAGAACTGATTATTTTGAAAACAGCTAGACCCAGTGTAATCTCAACTACACCCTAGATTCCACAGAAGTCCTGAGTGATGGTGGTGGTGGTATATGTGAAGATTCTGGGCTACTCTTTAATAAAGTCCGTTACCTCTCTGGACCATGTAATTTGCTGTATCTACTCCCTGCATCCTGGCTCCATTTGAAACTCTTCTGCTATGTATATTGGATACTGTACTGCTATCCCTCACCCAGCAGGGGGAGAACACATGCTTACTCCCAACCCAACACATAGAAGACATTTCTTCGGGAGTGAAGGGGGTGAGGAGCAACTCAGACACCTTCTTACCCAGCAGGGAGTAATAATCCAAGTGGATGTTATCTTATCTTAGATTTCCACCTCAGGGCAGCTCAATTTTTACGCCTGATGCCATCTCTACACTCTCAACCCTGTCCACCGTTTTTTACCTTAAACTCCTTCTTTCTCTCTGGTCAGGCAGAGCTAAGCCTGGGAGCTTCAGCTCCGAGGGTTGATCTTGCCTGCGGCCTCCCAGTTCCAACTAGGCAGAAACACCCGAGGCTACAGCCAATGCATAGCAATTTTTTGTTTAACCTTTTTACCTTTAGTAGAAAGCTCTTCTTCCCCCCACCCCACATTATTCATTATCCTCAAGGTTCTTTACTTTCCATTTTTCATCCCTTCTCTTGTTTTCTTTTATTCTCAAGTCAGTTTATCTTAGTGAAAATATCTTCCTCCCTACAAACACTGCATACACAACAGACAATGATATATCAATATATCCAGCATTCAAATCATAACCACAATAGGAGGGTCACTCGGGAGTCTCTCTCCTTAGTATCCAAGAACTCTAGAGGGTATAGAACAGCTGGCAAGTCACTAATGCACACCCCCAAACGAATCCCAGGTCCCTCCAAAGAAATCCTCATGATGAACCTGAGAGCCACACTCATAAGCAACACAATCAACCAGCCCCCGACCCTATGGACACTCAATCGTTTCATCCTCAGTAGCGAATAATAATGTAAAATAAACCTGAGACACACACACAACTTCTCCAGGTGACTTTCCCCTAGGATGGGAAGGCGAAAATGAAAGGGACCAAGCCCTTTTTTGGATAAAACCTTCAAAGAGAACTGATGAAACTGTAGCATTGCAGGCTGAAGGAGAAATGAACAGGCCTTAGGATGACTTAGAAGAAAATAGAACACGACATCACCATTAAGGTTTGCCTTTCTAAGTGTCCCCCAAACAGACAAAAATAACCAGTAATTACATCATTCTTACCTTCTCTCTCCCCATGGCCCTAATTTAATTCTTTCTGAATCCTCAATAAAGATCTAGAAGTGGGATTCCAGAAACACCTCCTCCAGTCAAAAAAAGCTTCAAAACGTCCTTTTCAGCAGCAAGTTTTCTTCAGGTCCTCACTAACTCATATTCAATCCTCAACCCGTAAAGCATCTCAGGCTGAGATGTGCCAGTGACCTATTTATACTTTCTGCAAGGGGTGGAGCTACGAAGGGAGTCAAGCCCCTCAGCCCCCCCCTACTCCCCGCCCGCAAATAATCTTGTGACCTCTCGGAATTTTGTGACCTCAAATGTGGGTACTCTTTTTCTCCCGAAGCAAGCAGTAACTCCCTCCCCTCTCGCCCCTCCCGCCCCTCCCTCCCCTCCTTTTGAAACCACATCCTGCCAGCTTTCATCTTTACTCTTCTTTGCTTCTAATAGCAACCTCTTAGTTTCACAGACAAAATGCTACCAGAAGAGCCTGGAGGTAGAGCAAATACAGTTCTTTATTTTGGCTGTCGCTTCTGCTCAGGATTGAATCAACCTACAGACAGATGAGGATAAATGCTATTTATCAAGGCAAAGTCGAGTGCATGCTGCTATCAGAGAATTAAGGTTGTTTGAAGGAGTGTAAGCAAAAAAAATTTATAAACCCAAGAGTTTCATCAGCTGCTTTTTGGTTGGAGGCTGGGTTTATAATCTTGAAGGGGAGAGAAAGGCACTCTGAGAGAAGAAAAGTAAAGGGAGAGTTTGGCCTGTTTTTGGCTCTGATTTGCATAATCTCACCTAGGAGAAAGGAAACCTGAATTTCTAGGAGCCAGGCCAACTCTCCTGGGCCGCTGGAAAGAGAGGAACCAACTGCCCATGGGATACAATCCAAACTTCTTAATGTGGCATTCACCATACTGAATTCTACCCATTCTGCAACATTTTGCCTCTAGTTAGGATTGTAGCATCTAGCAGGGCTGGATTATCCTATAAACAAGGTAAGCACGGGCTTACCTTCCCACCAATCTGCAGTGCACAATTTCACCTGTCCACCACATCAAAGATGTGAAAACCACGTAAAATTGCCCACCACAGGTTAGCCAGTACATACAATTAAACCCATGCATACCCTGCTCAATGCAAGCCAGTACATATCGTGTTTACTGGTTAATCCACCGCTGGCATCTAGAGACACAATAGTTATCAAATTCAATTAAACAAACATTTGCTGAGCACAGACTATGTATCGGTACTCTCCAAGAAACTGGGGATTCATCAGTGAGCAGGACAAAAAAGTCTTGGCTCTCACAGAGTTTACGGATTTCCCTTACTTTTTCCACTTAAATAAAAGAAGAACAAGGCTAACCGATTCTCACACAACTGGAGTAGATTATCGCTATCTTATTAGTTAAGGACGTGAATTTCTTGAAAAAAGGGTGAGATAAATATCTGATTACTAGTCTATAACAGAAAATGGAAAGAGATGAGTAGAAAAAAGACAAAAAAGATGAAGAATGAGGGGAGAGACAGAAGAGGCTCCAGTCTGACAGTAAACAAAGTAAACCAACTTGGTTTGTAGTTAAAGGAGTTGGGTAAACGAGAGATATTATCAAGTCGAGATAACTATGGTCAAATTCCTAAGGGCCATTAATATGTAGCCTAGCAACCCTGTAGTACAAGAGGGTAAAAGAAGCAGGGTACCTAAATGGATAACATTTTTCTAAATGGTGAGCGGGAGGAAGTGCAGCTTCTTTTAGGGTTTTGGTTGAGGGTCTAGAATTCAAATTGATATTACTTAGAGACAAAACAAACCAGATTACGTTGTCTACTTCCCCAAATGAGATTTTCTAAGAAGATAATTAGCTGAGAATTGAGGGCCAGGGAAATGTGACAGACAAGAAAACTTTCCCAGATGTTACACTTCCCCTCCCCCATCCCACCCTTGCCTTCCAGGAAACACTGCACCTGGTGGCCCCTTTAGTTACCACAGCAACTGAAAGGAATTTAGTAGCCAAAGGAAAAAGAATATCCCGTACAGCAGTGCTGTCTGATAGAAACATAATGAGAGACACATATGTAATATTAAATTTTCTAGTAGTCACATTAAAAACTGGTTAAATAAGAGAAATTAATTTTAGTTAATATATTTTATTTAACCTAATATACCCCAAATACTACCATTTTAGCATGTAATCAATAGAAAATTATTATTTTACATTCTCTTTTTCCATACTAAGTCTTTGAAATCCAGTGTGTATTTTAAACTTACAAAAATCTCCATTTTAGACTCTAAATTTTCTACAGTTAAAGTGAAATGCAGTCTTACCAAATCAACAAGGTTGTGTTTAACAAAAATATTTTACATTGCCTCAGTTTTAAAACAAAAACTCTAAAGTCAGGGAATGCAGAGCCTTAGGCACTTTGAGGTAAAGACAGGGGAAATTGCCTCCTTCACAGAACAATGGAAATGGCATTTGAAGGCCTACAAAAAAGCTAGTGACTGTTCTAAAGACGGCCAAAGTGAGTTCTACTGTCTGCTTGCATTTATAACATTCCTCACAAAGGACAACTTTTGTTACAACATGTTTATCTTTTAATCTTTCTTAATCTGGCTAGGTGTGGACAGAATTCATTTGAATCTGAAAACACTGTAGAAAATAAGCCCTCAGGGTGAAGAAAGAAATAATTTGAGAAATGTTGATTTTCCTGCCTAAACTGGGTTCAACCGTTCTTCATTACAAATAATTCCAAAGGACCTAATCCCAGCTCATGGATCTTTATCATTTTCTAAAGTGTTCCCCTCCACCAATCTTTCCTTCAAAATTTAATCCATCCCCCTCCAGTGCTGGATGAATTACCCTAAATCAAAATTGTAATCATATCAATCTTCTAATCAAAAACCTTCAAAGGCTACTGAATAAAGTCTAGACCAGCACTGTCCAATATAAATATAATGTGGGCCACATAGATAATTTAAAATTTTCCAGTAGCCTCATTAAAAAAAAAAATTAAAATCAATGGGTTAATTTTAATATTATATTTTATTTAACCTAGTATATCCAAAATAGTCTAATTTCAACATGTAATCAATATAAAAATTATTAGTGATACATTTTACGTTTTTTTTGTACTAGGTCTTTGAAATCCAGTATGTATTTTACACTTACAGCACATCTCAATTGGGACACTAAAATTTTAACCATTAAAGTAAAATGTATTTCCATTAAAACAATAAAGTTATGTTTAACAGAAAAAATATTTTCTATTGCTTCAGTTTTTTAAATATGATATTAAATGGATTCAAATGGAATAAAATTAACAATTCAGTTCCTCAGTCCCACAAGCCACATTTCAAGTGCTCAATACCCACATGTGACTAGTGGCTACTATACTGGACAATGCAGGTCTTGATTCCTTAGTATGGCCCTAACCTATTATTCCAATCTTATATAGAATATAAAAACCAAAAAAAAAAAAAAAGCCAAACCCATTGCCATCTAGTCGACTCCGATTCATAGCAACTCTATAGGACAGAGTAGAACTGCCCCACAGGGTTTCCAAGGAACGGCTGGTGGATTCAAACTGCTAGCCTTTTGGTTAGCAGCTGTAGCGCTTAACCACTATGCCACCAGGGCTCCATAATATACAACCAAATAATAATAATAATTTAGAAGTATATCTACCCTTTACCCAACCAAACTAACTTATTTATCAATTTTTCAAACAGGTCTCATTTCCTGCCTTACAGTTTTTACTCTGCTATTGTCTCAGCTTTAAAACAAAACAAAACAAAAACAAAAAACTGTTTCATCCCTGCCTGCAAAAAAATTTTTCTCATCTGTCTTAGTTATCTAGCGCCGCTATAACAGAAATACCATAAGTGGATGGCTTCAACAAACAGAAATTTATGCTTTCACAGTATAGTAGGCTAGAAGTCCAAATTCAGATCAGCTTCAGGGGAAAGTCTTCTCTCTTTGTTGGCTCTGGAGGAAGGTCCTTGTCATCAGTCTTTTCCCTGGACTAGGAGCTTCTCAGTGTAGGGATCCTGAGTTCAAAGGACGCACTCTGCTCCTGGCACTAGTTTCTCGGTGGTATGAGGTCCCCATGTCTCTCTGCTTGCTTCTCTCTTTTATATCTCGAAAGAGATTGACTCAAAATACAACCTAATCTTGTAGATTGAGTCCTGTCTCATTAACATAACATTAACATAACTGCCTCAAATCCTGCCTCACTAACATCATAGAGGAAATAAAACACAGGTAAACTCACTAACATCATACATAGGAAAATCACATCAGATGACAAAATGGTTGACAATCACACAATACTGGGAATCACGTCCTAGCCAAGTTGAAACATTTTTGGGAGACACAATTCAATCCATAACACCATCCTTCAAGGGTTAATTCAAATGCAAAATCCTCCCAGCCAAAGCAAACCGTCTAAAGATTATGCATGTCTTTCCATACTTAATAATCCTGTCTTCAATTTTATTTTATTTTTTTTATTGTGCTTTAAGTGAAAGTGGTGCCCTGGTGGTGTTACAGTGGGTGAGAGCTCGGCTGCTAACCAAAAGGTTAGTAGTTTGAATCCACCAGCCCCTCCTCAGAAACCCTATGGGACAATTCTACTTTGTCCTATAAGGTCACTCTGAGTCAGAATCAACTCGACGGCGACGGGATTTTTTTAGGTGAAAGTTTACAGAACAAACTAATTTCTCATTAAACAATTAATACGCAAATTATTCTATGACGTTGGTTGCCAACCCCTTCTCCACCCCAGTTCCTTGTTTCCATTTGTCCCGTTTTCCTGTCTCTTCCTGCCTTCTCGTCTTTGTTTTTGGGCTGGTATGCTCATTTCATGTCACTTACATGACTGAACTATGAAGCACGTTCCTCACATCTTATTGTTTGCCCTATAGACGTGTCTAATCTTTGGCTGAAGGGTGAATCCTGGGAGTGACTTCACTACTGAGTTAAAAGGGTGTCCGGGGGCCATACTCATGAGATTTCTCCAATCTTTGTCAGACCAGCAAGTCTGGTCTTTTTTTTTTTTTTTTTTTTGTGAACCTGAATTTTGTTCTACATTTTTCTCGTGCTCTGTCCGGGAACTTCTATTGTGATGCCTGTCAAAGCAGCCAGTAGTTGTAAGTGGGCACCACCTAGTTGTTCTGGGCTCAGTCTGGAGGAGGTTGTGGTAGTTGTGGTCCATTA